CTGGCAGCTTGTTGGGCCGCCTTATCGTCTCGGAGTCCTCATACAGGCATATAGCTTTTGAATCGTTGACTTCACTCGTTAATGAAGAATTTTTCTTCAGATTTCTATCGAAAGTCTTTTGTTATAATCATATATTTATATGGCCAAAATATTTATATCAACTAACTAAAAATATTCTATATCTTTTCTTAAAGTCTGGAATAATATATAACAGATTAGTAATTATATTTAAAATATTTGAAAGTAGAAAGAGATATTGAAGGATATAAACAGATATCTGATCATCAATTATGTACCAAAAGACTCGTATCTATTCTAACAAACTCAACACAACACAAAATCTAAAATCAAGACATAAAACGTCTCACAGACGTATTTTAGATCTTTTAGATGTCTCTCACAAAGATGTCTTTAACACATTTATTAAACGTCTTTAAGACGTCTCCGATTTTATATACTTTGTATTGTCTACAAGATTGTATTAGTTAACTAAAAATTAATCACTTAAACATTTACTATTATTGTGTACTAAATATTTGTGTTTAACTTTTTTTATTCTTTTATCTTTAAAAGACTTCACAATTCACAATCTCTCCCTCTCTCTAGAAATTATTTCCATACTTCAATTAGATGCATTATATATGCATGCGAATTAAAATGTCACTATTATCATGATGAGTATCTCACAGAAGGGACCGATCTACGGATAAAAGACGCGAAGAGAGTTTACTAATAGCCTTTAGACTCTTACTTCAGAGGCCCAGACGAGTAGTGGGACGTGAAAACATCTCCATTCCGTAGGTCACAGGGCTGCGGTAGAATTCATAAGAGAATAATGTTCGCTGCTCGAAAATTAATTTAATTTGTACGGAAGAGAGAAGGGGCAGAAGGGTGGAGAGGCGAGGGAATGCCCCGATGGAGCGCGGCGGAGAGAGAGACGGGGACGAAGATGGAGAAGGACAAAGGGAACGTAGGACGGTCTGGCACAAGACGTGCAGGTTAGAATACTCTTTAGCGGTTGGGAGGGGGATGGTACCCCGCTGGGTAAAATATAGCGGGCCAGTTCGTTCGAAAGGCGCTGGTCTGTCTCCACCGTGGACTCCTTAGCGGGGCACTGAAACTTTACCTCCCATAATTGATACGAATGTCTTTTCGGCCGGTGCTCGAACATCGCACGGCTATTTAGTCGCCGTAGAGAGGAGAGTCTTTGGGCTCCAAGACCCCGCTGACCGATCTGCTACGTCAATTATCAACGCATATCTCTGGCACGGTGCCGCTGAAAACAGTGTGACGCGCGTCGCGCGGTATCGATAACTCAGATCGAAGCTCTATTTTGATACTTATTTGATATCCTTTGCTCTGTTTGCTGCTTATTAGATATCCTTTGCTCTTGCATTACTAAGAAAGTTAAAGTTTCACTTAGAGAAGCTATGTCAGGCTCATTTCTATTCAACGTGTAAACACTTTTATTGCCACGAATAGCCATTCGACTTGTTAGCTTGGCTTGATCGAGTAGAGATAGAGCAACACGTCCAGGGTGTGTACCATAACCGAGACCATTCTCTTACTCCCTCTCCGAGGGACTCATTAAACATGGTAATGCTCGTTCACCTTGCAGACGCTGTTCGGTAGGTACCTACTAATTACCCGAGGCTACCACTGCTGTTAATCGGAAGCCACGGGATCGGCGATTTCGATCCCACCGCTGTGTGCGCGATCGCCTAATTAATTCTTCTCCGAATGTGTGCGCAAATCCAGTGAGACCGCGATTTATCTACGTTCGCGTGAAAAAATCAGAGCAAAGTGCACCGAGGTATATTCGTGAGAAATTTTAAAGTACTTAAACGAATCTAATTTAATAGAATAATAATATAAATCAGTACACTGAGATAAAAAAAATGGATTGTACGAACTAAATTTGTATAGTTATTTGATCGAATGGTTGATTTAACAATTCTTCAGTTGCACAAAAAAAATACAGTTCATTCATGTCAACTATCAAAATTTTTTAATCAAGAATTAACAACTCAATTAAATTATTGTATTCAAAATACTAATAATATTTATTTGTGTTTGCATGCTATTTAGTTATCCAAGTAATATAATTGTTCAAATTCCAAGTATCAAACTAAGCGATGCTGATGGGGATAATAAATAGTATGTATTTTTAACCGAACGATTAAGTTAAATACGATAAATTTTTGTTGAAACAAAATAGTTCAGTTAAAAAATAGTAGTTTGTTTATAATAGAAACAAATTATTTTGTGTCATCGTAGTAACGTTTAGTTGAACATATCGGACTAAATATTTTGGTAAAATAAAACAAATTTTGCGTTTTTCAACAAATTTTTTTTCTCAGTGTCAAAATAAAACTTCCATATACGTATATTATTTTCCATGTGCAATTATAACTTAAGATTTTTATCTTGCAATTAGTAATCTTAATAGAAATCTATCTTCTTCTAACAATTAAGAATTTAATCAGTTAATCCAATATCTTCTTTATTTCAGTTATATTAACTTATTAACAAAACATAACAGCTGTTGAACAATTGAAACACATTTATATTTTGATCGTATCAAATCTAACTGTAATACAGTTACGATTAATTACATCACTATTAAACGGTTCGGCCTAGCCGACTCGCCGCATTTCGTTTCTCAGAAACGGCGAAGAACAACAGGCGCAACGGTGTCGGCAAAGGGAGACACCGTTGAATTTAAGATCGGCGGAGGGGTGTGTGGTAAAGACAGCGCATATAACTACCACCGAAGACGGAGCATCGAAAAGATTACGATCTAAGTATCCCCCAGAAACAAATGCCGAATGCAACTCTCCCATTGCCGGGGTCTCTCTTTGTCGGCTCTTCGAGCGGTGCCCTGTTACCGGTACCAACACCTGCACGATCGTATGCGTCGCCTGTCATAGAGACTGCAGTTATTGATTGCTCACCGCGAGAAAGCGACGCAAAACCACGGCCTATACTCCTCCGCATCTTGAGATCCGACTCTTTCCCTCAACGATCGTCCTCTCATTCTTTATTTCAATATTTTATTCCATAGGCCTTTCTTTTTAGAAAGTTGTCTTTCAATATTATTGCAGAAAAAGTCCTTCATTTTTTATTCTATCTATTTTATATTATTTATTATTAATGTTTAATTATTAACTTTTCAATATCCCTTGTCCCTACGCTTATTTTTTTAATATTTAACTTCTTAGCTAACTTCTCAAGAGATAAAACTCAATAAATACAAAAATTCAGTTTGATGATTCAGTTCAATGAGCTTTAATATTTTAACATAAAATAATTTTAGTAATTGTTTATTATCCGAAAACACGCAACTTTAAAGGTTAGTAAACGAATATTTTAGAATATGTATTTTTTCTTTGTACTTATCTAAAATCTTAATTGCCTAGTCAAAAAGTCTTATATTCTTAGAAGTAACATAGAAGAAATAAAAAATAGATATTAAACTGAATATTAAATTATTAATAATCGATTTCTTTTATTTTTCCTCGCACTATTAATTTCATAGATCAACGCATAATAACTATATGCAATACTATAACTTTTATTGTTCTGCAAATTTGCATATCACTTATTTTTGACAATTTCAATTTGAGCAGGTGTCATATTGATCTGTGCTTTGGCGGGATCATCCGCTTCCCAAAGTTACGATTCTAGCCGAAGAAAATTGCAGCTAGACGTCACAGTGGTGCGAACATAAGCGCTTTTGTGTCACTCAAGTGACTCTCCTTTGAACGCCTTGAGTAGCTTTTTTACGGTCGATTAAGAGGTTACAGATGAATGCGAGACGCAGGTGAGTCCCTTCGACGAGACTCGCCGCTACGATGATATAACTTCGCTCTGCTTGCCTGAGATCGCTTTGTATCTGGTCAAGATGGCCGAAGCAGCGCACTAAAGCGAATCCCTGAGAAATTCCTCCCTGAGGGGACGTCGAACTTAGGGCTTAATAAAATCATACACAGGACATTTCTCCACGTGGGAGTCGGTTGAGAAATTTTCCAGATGACCGCTCGCGACGGATCAGCTTCGCCCCTACGCGGAATCATCGAACAGGTAAGAGGTGAAGAAGGGAAGAAACTTCACAATAGATCACCCACCCTTTGGGAAGAAAAATCGCTTTTTAACCCGACTCTGACCTACCTTCGATCCTCGACGAAGCAGCGATGTGTATTTCGAGACCGGGGAGTAATTTGTGTTTTCTATCTCGCACTGGGGGGTGTGGCGGAAAAATTAAACTTTTTCAGAGATTTCAGCGGATCGGTGGTAACCGACGCGGAGTCGTTTGTCATCGTTAAAATAATTCCCTTTGTTATCTATGCCAGTATGGGAGAAATACAGGTATCATTCGTGAGAGAGGATCGTAAGCCTATATAAGCAGCAACATTCTATGATGGTTTATAGCACCTTCGAGATATATATCTCTGCCAGAGAGTTTACTCCTTTAGGAAGAATTCGTGCTGGAATCTCTGAGGAGCATCAAGGATTTAATGTGTATATATGGTTCTCGATGGCATTGGTCGTTACGGTCGAAAGTTTTTATTAGGCCGCTTCACGTATTTAATCTTATTATTAAGTGAATTGAATCGTGACAATTGCAACAAAGTCACAATTGTAAAACTAACTTTTCTGTTTAAAGCGACATTTAGAATAATCTTTAATTCGGTAAACAATAATTTTATATTTACTGCGGTATATAATTGAAAACATTAATATATTAAGGTGTTCCAAATATATCAAAGCAGAATTTCGTTGTAGATCATTAAATTTTCGAATAAATGCCTGATGAAGTACTGTCTCACAAAGGATAATCGGCTGACAGATTAATGCCAATTAGTAGTGGTTATTCATTAGGTTTTGATATCATCGCGTCCACCTGCCGAATCCCGTCCGTCACGATACACCCAGACACACACGCGCGCACATCGTGTTAAATCGACAATACGAGCTAAACAGGCAAATCTGTATATTACCTCTCCTATTCTTTTCCAGCTGTCCCTCATCTCAATCTCTCTCGATGGCTAGATAATCGATCTCCATTGTCATTTGTTTGTCTAACTTAGCGGATTAGAGCCAGTCATCTGCGTCAAAGGCGGCCGCCCGGCCGATCTGGCCGAGATATCGAAGATGAGAGCGCGATTTGTTCGTGCACGGGCCACCCTCGAGCCGATCGTCCGCGACGGGTACGGACTTACGTAGGAGTAATTAATCCCTCGGAGCCGACAGATTAGACAAGTTCATGAGATGCCAGCTTACAGCCGCTGATGATAAAAGACCTTTTCAACACTCTCGATGCGCCCGTACGACGGGGAACGAAGTTTATGCCTATTATTGCGACGATAGTCACGCTATCCGTTCAATTAGCAATTAAATGAGACAGAAGGAGCGGAGATAAAAGTCCTTCAAACAGATACGAGCTTGAGATTAATATCGCAAATTAGATTGAGAGAGGTTCAGTTATAATCGCGGGCGGCATTGCAGTGACATTATATCTACGTAAAATACTGACTTTCAGTTTCTACAGATAAAAATATTCCTACGTCCGATTCAATATTTATTCGACGCCGCAAGTGGCTGCAAGCGAGAACTCGAAAATCATACAACGAATCCGGAATACGACAGCCGACGTGGCTCGTGGCTCGTTTAGTCGTTTCTAATCATAGAATCCCGCGAACATGCGTTAATCTGCAAGGGTACTAAATCGTCTTTATGTGCGCCCTCAAGGTGCAGCCAACAGCGATGACAACGTCACGACGTCTCCGGTTTCTCGCTATTTCGTCAACGGAACTTACGATCGAAAATTCTCGTTCAAATACCGTTATAGCCTTTACTTAGTAACTTTTATTAAAATATTATCTTTTTTTTTAACTATACAAATCGTAATTTTTCCTAACTGAGAGAAGACAGATCGAGATATGTAGATTGTCTCAGATTTTTAAAATTTGAAAAACTCATAATCGAATTAATTTTTTAAATAAAAAACTCATACGAGATATATGATCATTTATGTTTTGTAGGGGAGAGAGATTGAGAGATTTTCAGAGCTCCCGGTATTTGCGAATGAACTATAGGAGAATCCCCGGATTCGCTGGAGACATCGAAATTAACCGAACGGAGGATAGAGGAAGGGTGAAATATCGGTACTTAAGAGAGATGACAAAATGAGTTGATCGTTTAAGAATTTATTCGAGACACAGAATTGAGATTGAGACGGAACCGAGATCGAGACACATCCGCGTTCGAGAGACAACCGAGCTTGAGGTATAACCGAACTCAACTATAGTTGACGATGTACAGAGAGAAAAGAATTCACCGGTGTAGGGGTGAAAAGGGGAGGCAATGCTTACTTGAGTGCGAATCAGCTGATCGGCAGCTGATCGGCAGCGAAAAACAACAAGGAATGTCAAGGTCTCGGCACCGTAACGAAATAATAGAGAATAACATGTTTTACACGCTAAAATAATTCGCGATACGAGAACGTGAGATATAACTAGAGCGGTACAAAATTTTAATGCCGATATATGAAATTGATCTAGATGAGATAATTTTCCTTTATCAAACTCCAAACATGTTTCTTATATAAAAAAAATATAGATCCCCCTATAGAAAGTATAAAAGAATACTTTATCAGCATGATGGAAACTAAAAACACTTATCTGTCAAGTCTACGTTTCTGCTTCTTCGTTACGATAGAATGAGTCGAAGCACTCTCGTCACTGATTGTACTTTTTCTTCGAATTTAAATGCGACGTAACCGGGATCGAGCTATTGGAAAGAGGAACGAGAAGGCAGAAGGATCGTGAGTGTACGTAGAGCTGATCGTAAATACGATTCTCCGAGAGCATCATGGTCGTTACAACCGACTACGATGTCTCAATCCCAGTTCTCCTTCTCGGAACATCCGCAAAGTCTGCATAAAGATTTTTATTGTGACGAAAGATTAAATGAATGATTTCTTCATATTCCATATTTGCATAGCGCTAATGGGCATTAAGCAAAAAAATGTATAAACTTTATCTTTCTATAAATTAATCTGATTTTTTTTTTAATCTCGCCATTGATAAATTTAAAGAACTCTAGTGGATATAGAGTTTTTGAGTCTGCTTTTCTTCCCAAAGAGTTTCTGATGTATTTTAAATAAAATTTTAAAATATAGTGAATGTATAGAAAATAGAGATAAACGTTACTATTAGCTTATTGTTACGGAAGAGGCCTTTTTCCACGACGGCCCGTTGCCATCTTCGACATTTATCGACTACCTTCGATATATCCTTCTCGCACAGAGAATCAGTCTTCCGATTTTCTCTCTAGAATAAACTAAGCCAGTGTTGGTCGTGCCGACCATACCTTTTCTTCGAATTCAAATGCGTTCCAAGCGTGCAGGGGCGAGGCCTAGCTCTTTCTCTCTTTCCCTCTTTCTCTCTTCTCGCGCGAGATCGCGAAGAGGGATCGACGAAGAGAGTTATCACGGTGTGGAAACGAGAGAGGCACAGAGAGAGGAGAAAGGAAAATACGCTCGCAGGCGCACGGTTACACGGCGTTACTCGTAAATACGATGCTCCGAAAGCATCACGGCGCGGTACAAAGAGGCCACGACGTCTCAATCCTGAGTTCTCCTCGAGAGGCCTCCTTGGAGGGTCCACAAGGAACACGCTGCCCACCTCCGCCTCCCTCCTCGCCCGCCACCACCATCCCGCCGCGCCTACTCTTCCTCTCGTCGATCCCCCTTGGCCGCGCTAGGCTGCTCGCCCGATCGCGCAGCCCTCTTCGCAAAAGCGTGCAGGACGCTTCGCGAAAGGGGTACCACACACCGGGCCTCACAGATCACCCCGCTATCTAAGTCGCCAGATCTCCAGGCTTCGGTATATACCGTGCAATGTAGCCACCACTGTTCGCTTCGCTCAGAGAGAGAGAGAGAGAAAGAGAGAGAGAGAGACTCCCTTCCTTCTGTATCCTTTATTCTTATATCCCGTTGTCTCGGGAGTCTCGTCGTGTCTACCGTTCGCTTCGCCTGGCTCCCGTGTTCTCCTCGTTCGTTCTTTCTCGCGTTCATAGTCTTTCCTGGGACGTGGATCTTTTTTTTTTATATCTCCTCCTTTCATCGGCGATGCACACTGGCTATTATTTTCTTTCTGTTCTCGCGATCCCTCCGTCCTATTCGCATTTCATCGCAATTTTCTCCAAGCGGTAAATTTCTTTTTTTTTTCTTTACCTTTTCTACTTTTTCTATACCTATATTTATGTTGTTTTTCGTCATATTTCTCGCTCAGTCATTTATTTCTTAATAATTATCGTGCAAAGTCAAGAATCAAGCTATATTATTAAACGACAAAGAAAATGAGTTTAGCCAATTTAGCTAATCAAACAGAAATTAGCCAATAACAATTTTATGATGCCATTAAAATTTAATTTTCATCTTCCTGTCAAAAGAGAGGAACGAAAATTTCTTTTCAGTGAGTGCGTATTATTTTTGCAGTCTCTTATAAAAGAGAGTCACCGGTTTCATCGATCGATAGATCAATGGAGCGTTAAATGTCTTTGTTTCTTGGCAACGGCCGAAGAATTCAAGGTCGCTGCTATACTAAATCCGCGAACAGGCTATGGTAATGCAGAATGTCATTTGTTAATTTAAATATCACGATAATTCACTCTACCTCTCAGATTCATAGTCCTCTCTCTCTCTCTCTCCCATCCTCCCTGCCTTGTCGTTCTGTACCGCGAGACCTGCACTCATTCCCGTCTACTCTCCTCTCCTTATCCTTCGTATCTTCTCTTCTCCATCCTTCCTCCTCGACGACGCTCGTCTCTTCGCTTTCGTTTCCTCCATATATACCATTCGCGGTGTTGCACGCTCCTTCCTGTTTTGTTTTCAACGACCCTCGAGGAGATGCCCCGAACGGCTTTAAAATTTCAAATTAGCTTCAATCGGATTGGTTCGAGCGTGCCAGGCGTATCGCTCGCGAATCCAACGATGCAATTGGGCTCCTGTTAAAGTCCATGTAGCTTCGCGAACGGAAGAACCCGAGAGAGAAAGAGAGAGAGAGAGAGAGAGAGAGAGAGAGAAAGGGCCATTGGCGTAGCCAAAGTTGATTTGCGTTCGTTCCATTTCGACTCTTCCTTGCAAGACGCAACAATAAATTTGACGTGTTTCGTCGGTGTCGAGCGTAATTACGGGAAAGGTTAAGTATCATCTCGTGAGAACTCGATCCAAAAGTAGTATGCGCGACGAATGGAACAAGACAGAAATAAGATGACGAAGAAACTTCGGAGGTGGGAGGGGGGAGGGCGCCCTCGCTGTTAAACCTGGCGACCGCTGGCATAATGACCGGGCTGCCTCTCTTCCTCCCCTTTTCTTAGCACGGGGTACGCGTTCACTTAAAAAGTCTTAAACGCGAGAGCAAATACAATTAGAGGTAGGGCCCGGAAGGGCTTCTCTCCCGCTTCCCCCTTCCTCTCCCCGTTCCTCTTCTCTTTCTATCTCGCTGTAAACTGGGCGCAGTATCGCAGGCTCCTCTTCGCCGCTCGGAGGCGCCGCAGAAGGAAGAGACAAAAGGAGGAGGGAGAAGCGAAGAAGACTCAATCCTGCGTGGAGAGCCGCGGCGCGGTATATAACCGAGGAGGAAGAGACGGTAATAGCCAATCACGCGGCAGACGCAAAAACCACACGAGAAGCGTCGTAAAGTCCGCCGATAGTCTCTCTTTCTCTCTTTCTCTCGGTCGCTCTCGCGTGGTCTCTCATCCTCCACGCTGCGTCCACGCGAAACGAGGCCCGGGACGAGCCGGCCAGAGAGAAGAGAGCCTCGGGAGTGACCGCAGGATAGGGTGGAGACCCTCTTCTCGTCGCCCACCAATGGGGGAGATATTAATTAGAATAATTGCTGCTAACAGGCTCGTTAGCGTTGAACTGAGATAGCAAACGAGCGCGTCTCGGACGCGAAAATAAAATGAAGGGGGCCTCGTCCCTGGGCAAAACCCGAGCTGCCCCGCGGAGGATTATTGGTGGTTAGAAAGAGAGAGAGAGGAGGGGGGGGAAGTAACGGGGGACAGGTAGAGGACGAGCTAGAGAACGTACTTCCTTTCGCTGCAAAAGTGCCTTGATTAGACGCGAGCGTAATCATTTACATTTCTCTGCTCTCAAACATCAGTTTCTTCTTGTATACGAAGAGAATTTTCTCGCTTA